AAGGTTCTCCCAACGACAGCTCGTTCTGTGTATAAAAGACACCCGTCCACAGAATCTCTTTCTTCCATCCAAACCTCACCGCCACCATGGGCAAGACCAAAGAGCTGTCCAAGGATTTCAGGGACAAGACTGGACCTGCACAAGGCTGGAATGGGCTACAAGACCATCAGCTAAAAGCTGGGTGAGGAGACAACTGTTGGATCGATTATTCACAAATGGAAGAAATACAAAATAACCATCAGTCGCCCTCCTCGGTCTGGAGCTCCATGCAAGTTTTTGCCTCATGGGGTAAGGATGATCATCAGAAAAGTGAGGGATCATCCCAGAACTACAAGGGAGGAGCTTGTGAATGTGTTGGGACCACCAGTCATCAAACAAACCATTGGTTACACAACACGGCGCCATGGATTGAAATCCTGCAGATCCCGCAAGGTCCTCCTCCTCAGGAAGGCACATGTCCAGGCCCGTCTGAAGTTTGTCAACGAACATCTAAATGATTCAGAGAAGGATTGGGAGAAAGTGCTGGGGTCAGATGGGACCAAAATTGCGCTCTTTGGCATTAACTTGACTCGTCGTGTTTGGAGGAAGAAAAATGCTGACTATGACCCCAAGAACACCATCCCTACAGTCCAGCATGGAGGTGGAAACATTATGCTTTGGGGCTGTTTCTCAGCTAAAGGTACAGGCCCACTTTGCCGTATTGAGAGGCCAATGGATGGGGCCATGTATTGTAAAATCTTGGATGAGAACCTTCTTCCCTCAGCCAGAACACTGAGGAAGGGTTGTGGATGAATCTTCCATCAATGACCCAAAACAAAAACCAAGGCAACAAAGGAGTGGCTCAAGAAGAAGCACATTAAGGTCATGGAGCGGCCTAGCCAGTCTCCAGACCTTAATTCTTTAGAACATTTATGAAGGAGCTGAAACTTCGAGTTGCCAAGCGACAGCCAAGAAACCTTAAGGAACTAGAGAAGACCTGTAAAGAAGAGTGGACCAAGATCCCTTCTGAGATGTGTGCAACCTGGGAACCAACTACAAGAAACGTCTCACCTCTGTGCTCCCCAACAAGGGTTCCTCCACCTACTACAAGGAACGTCTCACCTCTGTGCTCGCCAACAAGGGTTCCTCCACCAACTACAAGGAACGTCTCACCTCTGTGCTCGCCAACAAGGGTTCCTCAACCAACTAAAAGGAACGTCTCACCTCTGTGCTCACCAACAAGGGTTCCTCCACCATCTACAAGAAACGTCTCACCTCTGTGCTCACCAACAAGGGTTTCTCCGCCAACTACAAGAAACATCTCACCTCTGTGCTCACCAACAAGGGTTCCTCCACCAACCACAAGGAACGTCTCACCTCTGTGCTCGCCAACAAGGGTTCCTCCACCAACCACAAGGAACGTCTCACCTCTGTGCTCGCCAACAAGGGTTCCTCCACCAACTACAAGGAACGTCTCACCTCTGTGCTCACCAACAAGGGTTTCTCCGCCAAGTACAGGAAACGTCTCACCTCTGTGCTCGCCAACAAGGGTTCCTCCACCAACTACAAGAAACGTCTCACCTCTGTGCTCACCAACAAGGGTTTCTCCGCCAACTACAAGAAACATCTCACCTCTGTGCTCACCAACAAGGGTTCCTCCACCAACCACAAGGAACGTCTCACCTCTGTGCTCGCCAACAAGGGTTCCTCCAACAACCACAAGGAACGTCTCACCTCTGTGCTCGCCAACAAGGGTTCCTCCAACAACTACAAGAAACGTCTCACCTCTGTGCTCGCCAACAAGGGTTCCTCCACCAACTACAAGGAACGTCTCACCTCTGTGCTCACCAACAAGGGTTCCTCCACCAACTACAAGGAACGTCTCACCTCTGTACTCACCAACAAGGGTTCCTCCACCAACTACAAGGAACGTCTCACCTCTGTGCTCCCCAACAAGGGTTCCTCCACCAACTACAAGGAACGTCTCACCTCTGTGCTCACCAACAAGAGTTCCTCCACCAACTACAAGGAACGTCTCACCTCTGTGCTCACCAACAAGGGTTCCTCCACCAACTACAAGGAACGTCTCACCTCTGCGCTCACCAACAAGGGTTCCTCCAACTACAAGGAACGTCTCACCTCTGCGCTCGCCAACAAGGGTTCCTCCACCAACTACAAGGAACGTCTCACCTCTGTGCTCGCCAACAAGGGTTCCTCCACCAAGTACAGGAAACGTCTCACCTCTGTGCTCACCAACAAGGGTTCCTCCACCAACTACAAGGAACGTCTCACCACTGTGCTCGCCAACAAGGGTTCCTCCACCAACTACAAGAAACGTCTCACTTCTGTGCTCGCCAACAAGGGTTCCTCCACCAACTACAAGAAACGTCTCACCTCTGTGCTCCCCAACAAGGGTTCCTCCACCAACTACAAGGAACGTCTCACCTCTGTGCTCACCAACAAGGGTTCCTCCACCAACTACAAGGAACGTCTCACCTCTGTGCTCACCAACAAGGGTTCCTCCACCAACTACAAGGAACGTCTCACCTCTGTGCTCGCCAACAAGGGTTCCTCAACCAACTACAAGGAACGTCTCACCTCTGTGTTCTCCAACAAGGGTTCCTCCACCAACTACAAGAAACGTCTCACCTCTGTGCTCTCCAACAAGGGTTCCTCCACCAACTACAAGGAACGTCTCACCTCTGTGCTCGCCAACAAGGGTTCCTCCACCAACTACAAGAAACGTCTCACCTCTGTGCTCTCCAACAAGGGTTCCTCCACCAACTACAAGGAACGTCTCACCTCTGTGCTCGCCAACAAGGGTTCCTCCACAACTACAAGGAACGTCTCACCTCTGTGCTCCCCAACAAGGGTTCCTCCACCAACTACAAGGAACATCTCACCTCTGTGCTCGCCAACAAGGGTTCCTCCACCAACTACAAGGAACGTCTCACCTCTGTGCTCACCAACAAGGGTTCCTCCACCAGCTACAAGAAACATCTCACCTCTGTGCTCGCCAACAAGGGTCCCTCCACCAACTACAAGGAATGTCTCACCTCTGTGCTCACCAACAAGGGTTCCTCCACCAGCTACAAGAAACGTCTCACTTCTGTGCTCGCCAACAAGGGTTCCTCCACCAGCTACAAGAAACATCTCACCTCTGTGCTCGCCAACAAGGGTTCCTCCACCAACTACAAGAAACATCTCACCTCTGTGCTCGCCAACAAGGGTTCCTCCACCAACTACAAGAAACACCTCACCTCTGTGCTCACCAACGAGGGTTCTTCCACCAACTACAAGGAACGTCTCACCTCTGTGCTCGCCAACAAGGGTTCCTCCACCAATTACAAGGAATGTGTCACCTCTGTGCTCACCAACAAGGGTTCCTCCACCAACTACAAGGAATGTGTCACCTCTGTGCTCACCAACAAGGGTTCTTCCACCAACTACAAGGAACGTCTCACCTCTGTGCTCCCCAACAAGGGTTCCTCCACCAGCTACAAGGAACATCTCACCTCTGTGCTCCCCAACAAGGGTTCCTCCACTGAGTACTAAGTCATGTTTTGCTCGGGGATCAAATACTTATTCTACTCACCGAACTGCTACTCCATTTATAACATTTGTATCATGCGTGTTTTTTTCTGGATTTTTGGTTTATATTCTGTCTCTACCATTTAAAATCCACCTGGGATAACAACGATGGACCCTTCATTTCCGTGTAAGTGGGCGAACCTACAAAATCTGCCAGGGATCAAATCATTATCTTCCCCACTGTAACAAAAGCTTTCAAAGCCCTCAATCCATTCTGAGTGGATTGAAGCTTAGTAACAGCATCCCCGGCAATTAACTCCTGACGGCGTGCAATAAATAGAACAGCAAAACACTCGAAAGGTAAAGCTCCGCCTATCCTGCCTCCAATGCACCGCGTACCGTTACAAAGCCTTCTGGGAACTCCCGGCAATCTAGCCCACAAATATTTTATCGGCTCCGTTTGCACGGAAGGAAAGTCGAACGCGACCCCCGTAATCTCCTGGAGAAATTGTGGCAATTAGGCGATATTCCCCCGGCGTTGGGCCGCGTAATCCTCCTGTTTTCATTAGAAGGGCCACGTGGAGGGGAGGAAAGGAAAGAATAATATTGTGAGAGGAGCGTGGCCCCGGGGCGGCTGACATTCCACGATACAATGGAGAGATCTTTCTATAGATTTCCCCCGCAGGAAGGGTCACGGCTCTCAGGACGTTACAGAAATGTCACCGCGATTCCGATCAACAGAATAATCCCGGCTTTATTAAATTACCATTTTAATCATCGTCTAATGAATATACCCAACGTGATATATATTATGAATTATTATGAGGCCGAGCGTTGATGAAGGTCATCCAGATCCTCCGAGAACTTTCCTCATATCCTCATTTCTTGCACCCAGGCACCAGATGCTTCAAAAAATATATAAAAAAGAAGCTTTGGCTGTAGTACTCATTTCCAGCAATAGAGGTCCCCAGTCTTCTGGGTTGACTGATATCTGGAGTCATCTAACCCGGAGACTGAGGACATTCTGTGAGTTCAGGGTGTCAGTGATTCCTTCCCACCACAAGATATCCTCAGTCTTCTGGGTTGACTGATGGCTGGAGTCATCTAACTCAGAGACTGAGGACATTCTGTGAGTACAGGGTGTCACTAATTCCTTTCCACCACAAGAGGTCCTCAGTCTTCTGGGTTGACTGATGTCTGGAGTCATCTAACCCAGAGACTGAGGACATTCTGTGAGTGCAGGGTGTCACTGATTCCTTTCCACCACAAGATGTCCTCAGTCTTCTGGGTTGACTGATGTCTGGAGTCATCTAACCAGAGACTGAGGACATTCTGTGAGTGCAGGGTGTCACTGATTCCTTTCCACTACAAGATGTCCTCAGTCTTCTAGGTTGACTGATGTCTGGAGTCATCTAACCAGAGACTGAGGACATTCTGTGAGTGCAGGGTGTCACTGATTCCTTTCCACTACAAGATGTCCTCAGTCTTCTAGGGGCGGACTGACCATTTGGAAACTCGGGCACTGCCCGAGGGCCCGGGGTCAGTAGGGGGCCCCATGAGATGCCCCTGGTACCTTTTTCATAGGCTTTTTTGAGTTTGGGCAAGGACACAGGGGCCCCATGATCCCCTATTGCCCGGGGGCCTCATGAGTTGTCAGTCCGCCCCTGGTCTGGAGTCATCTAACCCAGAGACTGAGGACTTCCTGTGAGTGCAGGGTGTCACTGATGGAGCTGCAGTTGTTCCTTTCCACCACAAGATGTACTCAGTCTTCTGGATTGATTCCCTGAGCCATTTAACCCATAGACTGAGGACATCCTGTGAGTGCAGGGTGTCATTCATGGAGCCGCAGTCATACATTTCTACTGCAATATGTCCTCAGTTTTCTGGGTTGACTGATGCCCCGTGTCATTTAACCCGGAGACTGAGGACATCCTGTGAGTGTAGGGTGTCATTGACCCCTGAAGAGGGGCTTCCTCACAATGCCCTGTACTCACAGTATAATGATGCAGAGAGTGGCACTACCACTGCCATGCCAAAAGCCAGAGAATAAGGACCCCTGCATGTCCCCTGAACCACCTGAAGACATCTGGAAAAAAGTAAGAGTAAAACCAAAAAAAAAAAAAAAAAAAAAAACCCTAAAGCCATAGTTGTCAGGTTGTCACACAACCTGGATTTCAAACATGTCCAGTACATGGGGGATGGGGAGATTAGTAGTTCACTCAAGACTGGGACTGTCCTGGAATGGTTGCCCAAGGCAGTCCCACCACGCCTGGTATGGATCTACCCTTCAGGGAGAATCCCCAGTAATGCAGAGCGGGAGATATTTCCGAGAAGAGAAGGCCTTCCAGTCCCTTGTAGGACCTTCTTCTCCAGAGATTTCTGCTGCTCTGCATTCCCCTGGATCTTTCCGGAAGGAGTGTGACCTCATCCTTGCCCAGGCAGAAGATGGAAGACACGTTATTATAGGAAAAAAAAAACAATAAAACCCCCCCGAAAATGTACAGGTATTTCTTACACCTACTAATAGAAGGCCATCTGAGATGGGGGAGGGACCTGGAACTTGCCTGGCGGTACTCAGGTCATTGGTTCGAATCCCAACCAAGTTTGCATGTTCTCCCTGTGCCTGCGTGGGTTTCCTCCCACACTCCAAAGACATGCTGGGAGGTTAATTGGCTCCTGGCTAAATCAGTCCTACTATGTATGAATGTGAGATCGGGACCCTTCATTATAAGCTCCTTGAGGGCGGGGCCTGATGGGAATATACAGCATATACTGTATATAAAGCGCTACGTAAATTGTCGGCGCGATATAAGTACCTGTAATAAATATGGTTACAATTGCCCATTTCTTACCCCATTATTGTTTTGTCAGCTTGTATATGGTTACAATTGCCCATTTATTGCACCCGTATTGTCTTGTTGGCTTGTACAGTAGAGTCACAGTTGCCCATTTGTTGGCATGTTGGCCAACATGTACTGTGACATACTGAAGCAGAGCATGATCCCCTCCCCCCGGAGACTGGGCCGCCGGGCAGTATTCCAACATAACAAGGGCGGACTGACCATTTGGAAACTCGGGCACTGCCGAGGGCCCGGGGTCAGTAGGGGGCCCCATGAGACGCCCCTGGTACCTTTATCATAGGCTTTTTTGAGTTTGGGCAAGGACACAGGGACCCCATGATCCCCTATTGCCCAGGGGCCCCATGAGTTGTCAGTCCGCCCCTGCAACATAACGACCCCAAACACACCTCCAAGACCACCACGGCCTTGCTAAAGAAGCTGAGGGTAAAGGTGATGGACTGGCCAAGCATGTCTCCAGACCTGAACCCTACTGAGCATCTGTGGGGCGTCCTCAAATGGAAGGTGGAGGAGCGCAAGGCCCCTAAAATCCACCAGCTCCGTGAGGACGTCATGGAGGAGTGGAAGACGGAAGGTGGAGGAGCGCAAGGTCTCTAACATCCACCAGCTGCGTGATGACGTCATGGAGGAGTGGAAGATGGAAGGTGGAGGAGCGCAAGGTTTCTAACATCCACCAGCTCCGTGAAGACGTCATGGAGGAGTGGAAGACGGAAGGTGGAGGAGCGCAAGGTTTCTAACATCCACCAGCTCCATGAAGACGTCATGGAGGAGTGGAAGACGGAAGGTGGAGGAGCGCAAGATTTCTAACATCCACCAGCTCTGTGATGTCATCATGGAGGAGGGGAAGAGGACTCCAGTGGCAACCTGTGAAGCTCTGGTGACCTCCATGCCCAAGAGGGTTAAGGCAGTGCTGGAAAATAATGGCGGCCACACAAAATATTGACCCTTTGGGCCCAATCTGGACCTTGTCACTTAGGGGTGGAGTCACTTTTGTTGCCGGCGGTGTAGACATTAATGGCGGTGTGTTGAGTTATTTTGAGGGGACAGCAAATTTCCATGTTATACAAACTGTACACTGACTACGTCACATTGTAGCAAAGTGTCATTTCTTCAGTGTTGTCACATGAAAAGAGAGAATCAAATATGGACACCAAGGGGAGCAGAAGGGGGGGCTCACTTCTGGGAGATACTGTATATATATATACATTGTATACAGTCCGGGGGAGGGGGGGTCACTTCTGGGAGATATATATATATATATATACATTGTATACAGTCCGGGGGAGGGGGGTCACTTCTGGGAGATACTGTATATATATATATATATATATATATATATATACCGTATTTTTCGCTCCATAAGACGCACTTTTTTCCCGCCCAAAAAGGGGGGAAAATGTCAGTGCGTCTTATGGAGCGAATATAAAGCGGCCGGTCCGGTATTTTTGCGGCCACCATATCAGAATACCGGGCCGGCCGCTCAGCTGTTGTCTACTGCAGGGCCTTACCTGTTCCTCGCTCCAGCGCTGCACAGTCTTCCCGCGCTGGCTTGTGTGACAGCCGGGTGCCCACTGCGCATGTGCTGCGCTTTGTGAATGATCCGGTGTCTTCTGGGACACATGAAAGGTCCCAGAAGGCGCCGGGCCATTCACAAAGCGCAGCGCTTCTCGCACATGCACAGTGGGCACCCGGCTGTCACAGAAGCCGGCCCGGGAAGAAGAGGGAAGGCAACTCCGCGGAAGTGGGAGTGGGTTCCTGTCAAATTCAGGTACCCGCTCCCCCTCCCCAAAGGTCAGCAGTCTCTGGTCATCCCCTGCATTGTCTGCAGTCTCTGGTCATTCCCTTCACTGTCTGCAGTCTCTGGTCATTCCCTGCACTGTCTGCACTATCTGGTCATTCCCTGCACTGTCTGCACTATCTGGTCATTCCCTTCACTGTCTGCAGTCTCTGGTCATTCCCTTCACTGTCTGCAGTCTCTGGTCATCCCCTGCACTGTGTCCGCAGTCTCTGGTCATCTCCTGTACTGTGTCCGCAGTCTCTGGTCATCTCCTGTACTGTGTCTGCAGTCTCTGGTCATCCCCTGCACTGTGTCCGCAGTCTCTGGTCATCTCCTGTACTGTGTCCGCAGTCTCTGGTCATCTCCTGTACTATGTCTGCAGTCTCTGGTCATCTCCTGTACTGTGTCCGCAGTCTCTGGTCATCTCCTGTACTGTGTCCGCAGTCTCTGGTCATCTCCTGTACTATGTCCGCAGTCTCTGGTCATCTCCTGTACTGTGTCCGCAGTCTCTGGTCATCTCCTGTACTATGTCCGCAGTCTCTGGTCATCTCCTGTACTATGTCCGCAGTCTCTGGTCATCTCCTGTACTATGTCCGCAGTCTCTGGTCATCTCCTGTACTGTGTCCGCAGTCTCTGGTCATCTCCTGTACTGTGTCCGCAGTCTCTGGTCATCTCCTGTACTGTGTCCGCAGTCTCTGGTCATCTCCTGTACTGTGTCTGCAGTCTCTGGTCATCTCCTGTACTATGTCCGCAGTCTCTGGTCATCTCCTGTACTATGTCCGCAGTCTCTTGGTCATCCCCTGTACTATGTCCGCAGTCTCTGGTCATCCCCTGTACTGTGTCTGCAGTCCATTGGTTCAGAATATTTTTTTTTCTTTTTTTTCACCTCTAAAACCTAGGTGCGTCTTATGGAGCGAAAAAATACGGTATATATATATATATATATATATATATATATATATATATATACACACATTGTATACAGTCCGGGGGAGGGGGGGCTCACTTCTGGGAGATATATATATATATATATACATTGTATACAGTCCGGGGGAGGGGGGGCTCACTTCTGGGAGATATATATATATATATATACACATTGTATACAGTCCGGGGGGAGGGGGGGCTCACTTCTGGGAGATATATATATATATATATAGTATACAGTCGGGGGAGGGGGGGCTCACTTCTGGGAGATATATATATATATATATACATTGTATACAGTCCGGGGGAGGGGGGGGCTCACTTCTGGGAGATATATATATATATACACACATTGTATACAGTCCGGGGGAGGGGGGGCTCACTTCTGGGAGATATATATATATATATATATACATTGTATACAGTCCGGGGGAGGGGTGAACCCACTTCTGGGAGGTACTGTAGTCTCCGATTATATTGGACCCACCACAATGTCGCGTCGATCTATAACTGATGAAGGAGAACACATCCTGGGGATGATCTCAGATCTGATCTTCTGGCCTTAGAGGACGTCAGTCTGACACAAGATGTCATCACCCGATTCTTATCCGACCCGCAGAGGGTCACAAACCCCGAGGTGAGGGCAGCCGAAGTTTATCCCCTTCCTAAGTGGCCCCCCGGGGCGGGAAACGCACGCGCGGCATTAAGACTTTCCTCTCTGCGAAAATAAAGTTCTCCAAAACAAAAATCGGAGGCGGAGTCCCCCGCGGCGCGACATTGTGTTACTTTCTGCTTCGTTAAAAGGGGCTATTAAAGCTTTCCTGAAAGTCATTCGTATTCGATTTTTTTTTTTTCCTACATTGGATTGCTCTGTATTCTCACCGGAACATTTTATGTTAAAGATGAAAATTAATGTCTCTTCTGGTTCCCCCCCCCCCCCATCAACATGCTGATGATAACAATTATGACCACTTGTAAGGGACCACCCGGCGGTACCACTAGCACTCCACTTCCCAGAGCACGGAATCTAAGTCCCAGGGTGCTTGTTCACCAGGGCCCCTGATGGTGGGGATGGACTTGGAGCCCCCCGAGACCAGGTCGTGGCTACTGGGTACGTCCGTCAGTGGTAGTGGTATACGTCGAGGGCTCCCACGGGGAAGAGCCTGATATGAGGAGGTCTGAAGGCCCCACTGGGAGGGACGGATGGATGGATGGCTGAGCAGGTGCAAAGTCAGACAGGCCGGGTCGGTAACAGAGAGGACGGTACGGTACAAGGCAGCGGGCAGAGAATAGTCGGGTCACACGCCAGGTCAGCAACAGCAGGTCAGATCCAATAGGGGGCATTCAAGAGAGAGGTCAGGCAAAGCAAGGGTCAGGGCAGGAGAATATAACAAGGTCAGAGCACAATCCGGGTCAGCAACTTACAGTTCACAGGTACAGGATACAGAGGAGACCAGAAGGCACTGAATGACAGCTCAGGGCCATTTAAATATCCCGCCCTGCGCTGCCATTGGTGCCCAGCGGGCGGTCGCGGCTTCTACTGCGCATGCGCGAACGCCGCGGCCGGCCCGGACCTAGTGCCCGTGTCCCTGCACAGGGCGGCGCACTGCGCCTGCGCTGGGACCATCGTGGCGGGGATCGAGGAGATCCCTGACACCACTTGACCTGCAGAAGGTTGTACCCCCTTCCTGACCAGGGCAGTTTTTTGATATGTGGCACCGCGCTCCCATATGGAAGAAAAATATATTTGAAATACTACAATTTTGGCCGTATTCAATATATATATATATATATATATATATATATATCTATATTTCTATATATATATATATATATATATATATATATATATATAAAAAATATATATACAGTGGGGATGGAATGTTTGGGCACCGCAGCTAAAAATGTGTATTAATGTGCATAAAGAAGCCAAGGAAAGATGGAAAAATCTCCAAAAGGCATCAAATTACAGATCAGACATTCTTATAATATGTCAACAAAAGTTAGATTTTATTTCCATCATTTACACTTTCAAAATAACAGAAAACAAAAAAATGGCGTCTGCAAAAGTTTGGGCCCCCTGCAGAGTTAATATCTTGTACTGCCCCCTTTGGCAAGTATCACGGCTTGTAAACGCTTTTTGTAGCCAGCCAAGAGTCTTTCAGTTCTTGTCTGAGGTATCTTTGCCCATTCTTCCTTACAAAAGTCTTCCAGTTCTTTGAGATTTCTGGGCTGTCTGTCACGCACGGCTCTTTTAAGGTCTATCCATAGATTTTCAATGATGTTGAGGTCAGGAGATTGTGAAGGCCATGGCAAAACCTTCAGTTTACGCCTCTTGATGTAATCCCCCGTGGATTTCCAGGTGTGTTTAGGATCATTATCCATTTGTAGAAGCCATCCTCTCTTTAACTTCAGCTTTTTCACAGATGGCATCAAGTTACCATCCAAAATTTGTTGAAATTTTATTGAATCCATTTTTCCTTCTACTCGTGAGATGTTCCCTGTGCCACTGGCTGCAACACAACCCCAAAGCATGATTGATCCAACCCCATGCTTCACAGTTGGACAGAGGTTCTTTTCATTCAATTCTGGGCCCCTTCTTCTCCAAACGTACCTTTGCTCATTCCGGCCAAAAAGCTCAA